ACCCCCGCTGGTCTGCTCACCCCCAACTGCCGCTACCCCCAGCACCAGCCTGATCATCCGCAACGGCCCCTCCACCAGCCTGATCACCCACACCTGCCATCCCATCCTGTCCTGGTCACCCACAACTGCCCTCTCCTCTTGGCCTCTAACTGCCTCTACCTCGGCCCTACCACCATGGCTTTGTCCAGAAGAACGTCTGGAAGGTCTCCTGGAAGGTCCCTCGGTCTAATTAGCATATTACCCTTTTATTAGTATGGATTATGTATAACAGGATATTGTAAAAATTAAGTCACGAAATTTTTATTAAAACGTTTCTTACATACCGTGGTATTGGCTGGGCCCCAAAGGTATTTGTTGTGGGCCATGAGTTTGATATGCCTGATCTACATGTTTGATGTTTATCCTACTTGGAGTGTGTGAGCTTCTGAGATGTGCAGATTAATATATTCAATCACATTTGGGATGTGTTTGGCCTTCTCTCCTGCCACCCCAGCCGGGGCTGGGGGTGCAGCACCTCATTTTAGCTTGGCAGGGGTGCATACCTATGTTCCCTCCTGGGCTTCTGTTGGCACGAGTGGTGGTGTTTGGCTGGAGTGGAGTGATTATTGTCTAAACGTTTTCTGTCTTGGGCTGCTCCCTTCCTGGTTCTTTGGCTTGAATAAGCAAGCTTTTTGGGGGGGCCTTTTTGTCTGCATTCATTGGCATTTCCAGGTTGCTCGTTTATTCAGCTGTAAGTCTGAGAGATATGACACAAAAGAACACTCCAGGGACTCACCACCGCGTCATTCCTGGGGCACTGAGCAGCCAAGCCAGTCTGCCTTCTGCTCTCCACCTTTTAGAGTCTTTTAAAAAGCCGTCTTTAATTGTGCTTTGCTGGAAGGACAGGGAGGAGCACACCACTCCATCCCCGCGGACTGTATCTCCTTCTAAGACACCCTATTCACAGCGGTCTTATCTGCTTACATTTCTGACTCACCCCCATGTCTATTCTTCCCATAGATGTTATTTCTTCACCAATCTCATGGGCGATCCTAAATCTGCTTACTTTAAAGCCTTTTATTCCTGACTGGTCTTTTAATTTCACTGGAGTCAATTCATATCACGATGATTGACTTTGGTGGCCATTCTTAGCATTCGATGTCTTCACGGGCTTCAGAGTGGTGACTTTTTAGCTCACTTTTGGGTAAAAGGCCGTCTTTCACATTTCTCTCTCTCTGTGTGTGTCACCAACACTCTCACCTAGTTTGGGGCTGTCCCCGCGATGCCTGGTCTGCGGGGCAGAACATGCTCCCTGTTGGCGCGGGGGTTACACCTCCCGGCCCCTGGGGTCTGCTTGTCAAGCCGGGGGCCGGGATTCATGAGGCTGTCCGTGCTCTCCCTTGTCCCAGGCCGCACCTCACAGACGCTGTTGCTCCATGAAACGGGGAAACGGGTTTCCAGACTCACTGGCGGAGGGGGAGCCCCTCTCCCCTGATTTCAATGGGAAGCCTGGCTCTGTCCCAGCCTCAGGTCCCTGGGACGCCCGGCAGGCCCGCGGCTTTGTCAGTACTTGGCGGCGTGTGTTTCGGCCACAGTGGGTTTATCTGGTGTTTGCACGCCGCCGGCTTTTGCCGCTGGAGCTTATCACTGCTCCGCACTCGGGCAGAGGGGGCCTCAGAGCATGAAGCATGGATCATCTGGATCAGAAGCCAAATACTCGGCTTTCTTTCTCATTTAAAAAAAAAAGTGTTAATTTCTAATTTTGCTCTATTTCTATGCCAAGCCACTTTACATCCTATTTGAAACAAAATAAAGTGAAATACAAGAAGTTCTATATATTTTTTTCAAATTCATGTTTTACCATTGCTGAAATCACGGTGCACTTTACATTCAATGCACCACGAATTCAAGGCACGGTGTCAACCACACCTGGCATTTCAGCGTCACGTTGGTCACATGCATGACATCTGGGGACCTGGGGAGGTGTGACTCTGGCACCGAGGGCAGAGGGATGAATGGGTGACTTACAGGACTGGGCGGGGATCCTGTGTGTTTGGAAGAAGTGGGAGGGGTAGAGGGACCAGGCCAATTTCTTCAATCATTGATCACAGTCAAGATGAATGCAGCCCCTGCTCCAATCTGATCTGAGAGATTTTTGTGAAGGTAGTTCAAAGGAACACTGTCCCCTTTCTTTCCTCTCTTGCCTTAGCCCTAGAAATTGTCACTGGCCATAAAACATGCATCCACCCGGTCTGCATGGCTCCGTGGTTGAGCATCGAACTATGAACCAGGAGGTCACGGTTCGATTCCCAGTCAGGGCACATGCCCGGTTTGGGGGGCTCAATCCCAGTAGGGGGTGTGTAGGAGGCAGCCGGTCAGTGATTCTCTCGCATCATTGCTGTTTCTATCTCTCTCTCTCCCCTTTTCTCTCCGAAATAAATAAAAAATATATTTAAAAAACATCAAAATAGAAACATGTCTCCTTTGGCACACTGAGGTACTCAGAGTGTAAGGACAGCTAGACTGCTCCCCATGTACTCACACCCTCATGTCCTGATTTCCATTTTATAGGAGCAAAGGGCAGTACAGTCGTGAGTGAAGCTGACTCTGCCCTAAGCCTGTCTGAGGAGGGGTGGCTGCCGTGGTCACCGCCTCCTTGAACTGTGTCCACAGCCGACTGGCATGGTGGGCGTCTTCTCCCCCAGCCACGCCCCCGCCTGGAGCTGACCGTGGTGAAGCAGCTCGGCAAGGCCGGTGGGAAAGGCAGCCAAGTCCTGACTCAACTGCTCACTCTTTGGCCCAGTAATTTCCCCCCTTGGGGGTTACCCTGGAGAAACGGGCGAGAAAGGGGCTGGGTTTTACAGAAAAGTATGGTTTATAAAACTTCCATGTGGAAATAAGGTATTCATCAGAAGGGGCTGGTTCAATAAATCCTGGTACACACTGCCAGTGGAGCAGGAAGCAGTATTTGAAAGTCAGGCTTTTGAAATATCTTCAATGGGAAAATGCTCAAAATTCAGCGTGTGCTTAAGGGTATAAAACAGTCCAGAAGGTACAGAAATTAGTGTAACTGAATATATCATTTAAAAATGACCGGAGCCCAGCTGGAGTGGCCTGGTTGGTTGAGAGTCGTCCTGTGCACCCAAGGTTACCAGTTTGACTCCTGGTCAAGGCACATATCTGGGTTGCGGGTTTGATCCCCGGTTGTGGCACGTAGGGAAGGCAACCAATTCATGTTTTTCTCTCACATTGACGTTTCCCTCTCTCACTCTCCCTCCCTTCCTCTCTTTAAGCATGCTCTCGGGTGAGAATTAAAAAATAATAATAATTAAATAAAAACGACTGGATGGAATGACAGAAATATTACTATTTGTTCTCTGCAGGCGGAGGAATTCTGGGCGATAGGAAGGATTTCTTTTAGACTTTTCTGACATCAAAATTTGCTACAGTGACTAGGTCAGTGGTTCTCAACCTTGGCTGCACATTAGAATCACCCGGGAATCTTTAAAATCCTGATTTCTCGGCCTCATCCTACGGAAATTCTGTTTCTTTGTTACCAATGTTGTGGCCTCACCCCATAACAAAGAAACAGAATTTCCGGAGGATGAAGCCCAGAAATCAGGATTTTAAAAAGATTACCAGGTGATTCTAATGGGCAGCCAAGGTTGAGAACCACTGGGATAAGGGGTTGATAAGTAAGTGTGCGTGATGCCTGCATCAAGCACAGGGGTTTCAAGTTGAAATTTCTCCTGCTCTTGGCACTCGAAATTCTGTTTCTTTGTTACTAATGTTGTGGCCCCCATAACAAAGAAAGAGAATTTCCGGAGGATGAGGCCCAGAAATCAGGATTTTAAAGATTCCCGGGTGATTCTAATGTGCCACCAAGGTTGAGAACCACTGGACTAGGTAGTACATCGAATTTGCATTCAGGTTAGACTGTGAAAAGCAATCTTCATTAGAAAAATAATTACAACATACAAGAAGAGCTCTGCAAACAGCCCTAGGGAGAATAAAAGAGACAAGAAAGAACGCACCTACTGTAACAAGTAACAATACTCACAGCCATCGCTGATTGGCTGCTGCGGTTCCCGGGAGGCGGGACTGTGCCAGTAACATCCGGGGCGGGGCCTCGGCCGCCGCCGCG